TATATATATATATATATATATATATATATATTATTATTATTATTATTATTATTATTATTATTATTATTATTATTATTATTATTATTATTATTATTATTATTATTATTATTATTATTATTATTATTATTATTATTATTATTATTATTATTATTCAGATTATATAAGATAATGTATAATGAGATATCCCTCCTTTGACTAAAATAACGAATGAATTATGTGATTTGCATGTTTAACACGTAACATTATTACGTTTGATATCTGAATTTTAATTGCGATTAATATTATGATCGAGAATTCAAAGTTCGTGTTATTTACATCTGCGAATGATTATAGATTCACAGACGTATCTTAGAATCATCTTATTTTTAGCTGTATCTCGATAACAATTAAGATTCGCGAAAGATGAAAGAAAGATTTTAATGATATTATTTTTTTTTATCGCGATGTTTTTATCCGAGATTGTATTCTACGGCTGTTTGTACGATCGTGTGGGATGGTCTATGGCGTAATTGGTTTCAATAGATGCTGCTTTAATTGGATTATCTTTTACGGTAGGCCAAACGCTTGTGGCCACTCCTATTGTAACGCCAGACGTATTATAATACGATCTTGGATCGTGATGTCGATGTCGTCCCATAGCTTTATTGCCGCTCGTCAGACTTTAAACGCTCGTACATTTTATACTTGCATCATTATGCCTTTATCGTCCTCGCGATTCATCACAAAGACAAATCGTCGAAGCAATTTGCACTGGAATTAATCGTTGCGACATTGCTTGTTGGGAAAATAGAAAGTGTAATCGTCTTTGTTTAATATTCTTCATTCTGCGATTCCGTGTTCACTCCTTGCTGAAGCCTCGGAATAATTCACTGTGGCAGATCACAGATTCGCGCTAAATAACAATTGTTACTAACTGAAGACAAATGGATGCTTCGTTATAAAACGAATTAAGCATTTTTAATAATAGCGAATGTAGAAACGATTTGTTTGTTACGGCTCATAAAAAGTACGATGCGTTGCAGTGACGAATCCACCGACACGAAAAATCGGCTCGGTTGCTGACATCGACCCGGTGAATGAATATTATGGATCGTTAACGCCAGCTATGACGATAAATAATAATCAACATCAACATCAACCTCAACATCAATCACCGCCACCGCCTTCCAATGTTGGAGTAAATATCTTTTTAATTTCTTATTGTCTCATTGTACTGTCTTCTATGTTTTATTTACTTTACGCGATGTAAAACTTATGGCTATTCATTCGTGAAAGATTTTATGAATTTAGAATTTGAAACATTACGAACTAAATTTTTTACCTTAATTGCAAAAAGATAGCGTAAGGTAGAAATGTTTCAAACATATAAAAATTTATTTTCCATAAAAATATTTTTTTTTTTTTTTTTTCGTTTAAAGACTATAAATTTTTTTTTTGTACAGAGAGTGTACAGAGCGATGTATGACTACGAGGCACAAGATCTCGACGAAGTGAGCTTCTGTGACGGCGATCTGATCGTCAATTGCACGGCCGTTGATGAGGGCTGGATGACAGGACTGGTGCAGCGTACGGGACGACACGGCATGCTACCTGCTAATTACGTCGAACCGGCGCAGATTTAAATTTATTTTTTTTGAGCTTCCATTCACTAACTATTGTCATCACTTCGATCAAAGCGCTTAATTACGACGCTTTGCCGAACGAAGACGCGGCGTTGAAAGGAAAATTACGTGATACAATACTCGAAATAGCACTTCTACTCGATTCTTATTATAGTTGTGAAGTGATTTGTTTGAACGAAGCGGCGAAACTGTCTTCTTAGAAAATTAAATATTTTAACCATTCATGAAGAATTCTTGATACGAATTGATATCAATTTGATCATTTTTATCTAGATATTAATTCATCCATGACGTCTGTTTGGATTAAGTTGAGTACTTCGTATATTTTCGAAACATTGATAAAAAGAAATCAGATTAAAGAACAAATAGTCAAAATTAGTTTCATAAATATTCATGAATACTAAAAGTTGAATAGTCTCTATTAGATGACAATATATAATTTTATATGTTGCAATTCCATGATGGGACCAAACTTTAACTGCGATAAATTATGCCGATTACAATTAAACTCCTAACAGTTTGTGAAATGATGTAAACTTTGATATAAGCCAACAATTAGGTAGAACCAAGTATAAGATATATGTTTTATGCAATGCAGTTTTTAGTAAGACGTCACGTTTATTTTTTTTTCTATTAATTTTATTATCATTCCTTCGTTTTGACATTTTTTTAGGATTTAAATTATTACGATTAAAATATCAAGAAAATACATAAATCTGGTTCAGTTAATAATTTTTTATGAGATCTTTCTTGTTAATCATTATTTTTATTAGAATTTTATATTATTTGTTATTCTATGTAAACTCTACACACTAATTAGACAGATTTTATTCCTGACCTTTTGCATTTATAACTAATATTCTTCTCCTTATTGTATTTTAATTACATACTTTTTTCTTTAACTTCTCTTTCTTTTTCAAAGATGTTCATAAAATAGCAATTTAGTCTTGATAAGTTCTTTCCCTAGTAACGAAACGTAGGACAAAATTTTTCTTTGTATTTGAAAAGAAACAATGTGCCTTATATATATAGATTGCGAATTACTAGCGATCTAGAAATTAAATTTTTTCATAATGTATTGTAATGTATTGTTCCGTAGGAAAGTGCATTAGAATAATATATTCGAAGAAATATCAATAACTTTTACTTATCACGCTGATGTATTTTGGTTTGAAAAAAAATAATTGACTAATCCTTGTCTTCTTTTGAATTTAAAATAATGAGAAACATAAAATGCTGACGCAAAAGATGCTGACACTTGCCTTCTTAACTATAAAACATGAAAATTATTGTTAGATATCGTTACTGACTTGCAATTAATTAACAAGAGATCTAAATATAAATTAATCAATATTTTATTGCATAGTTTGTAAGTTTTATTTCGTATCGTTCACATATATGCTTCGCATTTCACTCCAAAATTGTGTATTCATATTATCGATATAAGTTATTATATTTGGTGACTCTGAGGTTACCGAAAAACTAGAGAACTTTTAATTGAATATCAAAATTAATAGTTTAATTTATCCTTATATCGAGCATTTTTTTGCGAAATTCATGTTTTCAAATGCGCAGTATTAGCCGTGTTGGTTAGCATGACAATTAACTTTCTTCTTTTCTACTTTGATTTTTACCATTTACGTTACGCCTAATAATCGCGCCTAAATTGATCGTTGATGGAATGTCATGTTTATCACCAAGGGGTGCTTTGTAATACCTTGTTATTGCGTTTTTAAATTAATATCAAACTGGTTCCTCAGAAATATATCTATATCGCATTTACCTGAATAGACAAATTATATGATGGGACGACGTTCGATGGAACTATACAGATTAACGAATTATATAAAAGTTATAATTCGTTCTGCGAGCTAGATGTGATGTTGTGCGACATCGTTTATAAATGAAGAGAATGATATTTTTGGAAACATGTTACTCAGCACTCTTGTAATTATTAGATCGCTGATAAGAGGATTTCATATTTTAATTGCAAGACACAGAAATATATGTTAGCGTTGTGTTTAAATGAATAATATTATATTATCATAGTAAATCATAAATAATATGTACGTTATGTAAACCTATAATTCATTGTTGATAATTGCAACATGGCATCCTTCTTTCTTTTTCTATCAGATTTCTTTCTTTAATCTTTATTCTGAAAAAAATGTGTTTATCGTATTTTATTATTACAATACATATAATTTATTTTATTTGCACATTCTCATTTTTAAGCATAAACTTTATGAAAAAAAGTATTTGTTTTGTGTTATTTCGTTGAATAATATATGTTATTTCTTTATGAAATTTAAGAAATGATAGTTCTTATATTTATTTTTCTAATAGATATATTTATATTTTTTTTAATTAAAACATCTATCTTAATGTGATCACGTCACAAGTTTTAATGTCACGACAATAAAATTTAATATCTGAAAAGATATTGCAAATGCCACTAACACCATCGATATTCAGTATTATCAAAGCAATCAATATTCAATTACATAGCGGATACTCATGAATTAATTGTGAAACAACATTAGCCAAACGATCTATTAATAATATGACGAAATTGCAAAATCGAGTAAAACATTTAGTATGCAGAGATATAAAATATGCATATTTATTGAAAGTAATATAAATACAATAAAATGATAATTATCACATAAGATAGTCAAGAGCGCTGCATCGAGTGCACGTTTGAAAGTCTCTGAGCTTGGTCCATCACAAAATTTATTGTTTACTTTAGTAACTTGCATAATCATACATGATCGTCAGATCATTGAATTAATATTGGAAAAGATTAGACTAAGATATACAATTTTCAGCATTAAAGTAGCCGAGAGCCGTGAATATATCGAACTTGATCGACTTCTCAATTCGATCATTTCAAGCGTACAATTCTCGTATTTGTAATATCATTCTATCCTTATTAGACTTTATTCCTCTCATATCATAATCTAGCCCAGATCGCTTTGCAAACCTTTTTATATCATAGAAGCAATTTTATATGCTATAATGAACACTATATCTCATTCTATTAAAATGAGATATTTTACTTCGATAATTCATCAATATTTTGACACAATACTGCACAATATAACATAGAAGCATGGCTTGAAACTATAGATGATACATGGTATTTTTTAATATATAATGCAAAAAAAATTTAAGTGTTAATCTGATTATAATTAGACCGCACTGTCTAATCATACGGAATGTGCAAATCTAAAAAAGATTAATAATAATTAATGATGAATGTTAGCGCTGTCTCTCAAATAAAATATTTTTATAAGCAGGAAATGTTTATTTCGTATTAGAGATGCTAATCGCTTTGTTTATTAGCTATAGTATATATATATATATATATATATATATATATATACATATATAAATTAATATATTGAAAAAGAATATTTGTACAAGTTTCCTGCTTACAGATAGATGTACCTTGAACACTTTTGTAGCAATAAAGTAGGATGTAATATTTAAGGCCATGGACTTGATTGTGATGAAGATTTGAGTAAGCGTAGGCTAAATTCAACTTTCGAACGAACATCATTTCCGGCCAATAGACGTATATACCTTTTGTTAACGAAACAGCGCAACTTTCAGTGATTTCCAGCAAAATAAATTGTGCGGTTGAGCAAGATGAAAATAATTTATCCTATTGAAAGTTCCTTAACAATACCGTTAGATATAAGAAGCTTAAATTTAGTGGATAATAAAAGTCGCAATTTCTCGATAGAAATAATAGAAATAAGAAATTTATTGGATATGAAGGATAAGACATCTTGCTGTGAAGGGATACGGACGCAGGTAACAGAATCAATCACTAAATTATTATTATTGAATAGGAATTTCGTGTCAGGTATTGGAAGAGTTATATGTATTTTGTTTCCGAAGAATTTTCGGTGCAAGTTTCTTTATATTGCATTTTTATCTTTAAAAAAAAAGTTTCGTTCTCGAAGCAATTTTTATGTAAAATTTTACAAAAAAGAATGCTGGACGAGCCTGCTTCAACGGATAGGATCGAGTCGAGGAAGATAAAAACGCGTGACGGCATTTTTTGGGAAAACTCAATTTAACGGTCAAGTTACTGCATGTTTCGGCTTAATGCTAAATGTCAGCGATATTATTCTCCTCGTTCTCGACTTTCCTCTAGGGAATATATATGGAATGCTAATCGGGCGAGACGACGTGTGGCGAAGGGTCTGCGTGCTGGCAGTGTCATTTTTGTCATAGCGTGAACAAACCGTTTCTTTTTTTTCTCTCTTTTTTCTTTCCCCATCTTCACCGTACGTATTTTAGCTTGCCTGCTAATATCCGGCGAGGTCGGCGAATGTCTGATCCATCTCATCGGCAATCGCTTTGTATTTACAGCGCTCGTTTACCAGCACGTCTGCAATGAAAAGGGAGGGAATGTGGTATTAGTGGACGATATGATGGTTAATCGAGTGTATATTTTAATATTTTTTAAATTGGAAAGAGAAAGAGAGAGATAAAGACCGTGTAGCCCCTGTAATTAAATATTTTGAATGATCGTTACATTTGTAATGCGACTTATTCAAAGTGAAAGGAAGGAGAATTATGTTCAGGAACCGACTCAATTATCTAAAATCTAAGAAATAATTATTTTTCAAATATTCATTTTACAATGATAGAATATAAGATCTGTATAGGTATGGGATATATTTTTAAAACATCTTAGCTCATTGAAGGATAGAGTATATATATTTTATAGGTGAAAGAAAGAAGTACATTGGATTCTATATGATAACTTTATTGTCCTATTCTCTGAAGTATTAGAAACAAAAATAGCCTTATACAGTTTTTCAACAGTTTTATAAGTCGCAAGTTACTTATGATGGGAAATAATTAAGTTTTAGAACTCAAGAATATTCTATTAATAATACATACAGAATTATCAGATGTACTGTACTTTTTTTGCTCTACTTACTTCGTGCTTGATTATTAAAACAAAATAATGCAATTAGAATTATGTTAGAATTTCTGTTCTTAATTTTGATCTAAATAGTTTTCGAAATAAATAATTAAATAAATAAATAACCACGGCTCAGCAGCTGCCATTGCGCACGAAAGCCAGAAGTAGAGTCGTCGATAAATAAAAAAAAAGGAGTATATTGAACGCGGAACGTATTTATAGTACATCGATTTTAATTACAATAACGAAATACGCATTGGGTGGCCAATGCCATGACTTGATCGCGATCGAATCGGGCGCATGATATTGATGTACACGACCAAATAATTCGACAGCGGATGCGGATACTCGATAGCCGATTTAACCAACCAATTCGGTGAAGGTGAGGTCCAGGTCGTCGCAGATGTATTTGTACTTTTCCTTCTCGTGGACAAGCTCGTCTGCAAGAAAACGTAGTATCATTAGAATGTTTAGCTACCGTTCGTCGAGTGTACTTGGATACGTTTGGTCTAAGTTGAATGCATTAATCATTTGCACAAACCGTGAGATAAGAAAAAAAATAGAAGATGAAAATATCATGAAACTTTAATTTTCGAGTAAATGAAATATTCAGTTTTTAAGCGGTGAAAAGAAGATATATAGAAATATCTCATATAATTGTTTAAAGATTTCTTTCAGAAGGTGTTCAGTAAAAAAATGGTTTTAGCAGCGAGCGGGTTAAAAAGCGGGTAACTTACGGAAAATTTGTTAAGCGCAAGCTAGATTTGTAAGAAAGGCTATCGGTATCTTTTTTTTTTTTTTTTTTTTTGTTGAAGCGTTAGGAGGATAGTTAATAGCCGCGTTATACGCCATAGAGTTCGAAAAACGCCATATCCAGGCCGTCCCCGACCTCCTTGAATTTTTCCTTTTCAGTCACCATCTCATCTGCAAGCATTGCAACGTTATAAATAACCGCAATTTAGTTATACTTTGGTCACTGATGCATGATGTGTAAAATGCTTGAAAAAGAGTGCCGAAGAGATTAGAGTGTTTGATGTTAAAATCGCGCTAAAGGCAGGCATGTGAGACTGTGGATCGGCCAAGCGAAATAGCAGTAAGAATAATTGCATTTAAATATAATAATAACGCGAATCTTAATATGTGCGACTAAAAGCGATTTTATTTTCATCCATATCTATTACAATGATATTTGCTGAATTCCTCTAGTTAGGTATAATTTTTATCTTAATTCATATCTATTATGGAGCTATTCTTAAATATATTTCTCTAATTAAATAGTTTATTCAAAATAGCTTTCATTTTTTGCAATATTAATAATGTAATTGATGATTATGTCTGTATATTACTAAGGGAAAGATTTTATCAGTATCAATCAGTGTAAATTGTACAAATAATTGAAAGATATATTTATAAAATCATAATTTTATGATAGAAATAAAAGACAATCGTGAAGTTCTGATATTAAAAGGAGATATGTCATGCATTAAATAGCAAAATTGGGTTAAGCGAAATTTACTCACCGTAAATAAAATATACGTACCACATTTTCTTCTCATCATGCAATTTGTTACGAGGTTGTCTTACAACAAGGCGACCACAATGTTATCGCGTGGACAGTAGTTATATGTCTTTATGTTAACGGTGTGGAGGATTAATGTTAGCGCAGGTAAAAAAAAAAATAGATAAAAGTAAAAGACTAACAACACAACGAAAACAAACGACACACTCTTTTTTCAAAATTAAAATATATATTATAAACAGTTTTATAATAATAGCAATATATAATAATCAATTATTACAATGATATTAGTGTTATTATCATTCCATTCACTTTTTATTAATATTAAGTAAATTAATAAACTAAAATTCTCTTAAACTCAAGTATCTGCATCTCCATAATTTTAGTATTACTCAGAAAGAAAAGAAATGTGGCTAACAAAAATCAATGATAGGACATGTAGATCTCGTGATTGTGCTTTTGTCGCGATTATTTTTTTTTTTTTTTAATAACGCTTGCTCGCGGCGACGTTAACTTGGAGAACAAACGGTCGCGATGTCTCCGGGTGGCCTTTCGATAACGCACATTTGTTACTGTATATTATGTTAGTTCATCGTCATCTTCGTATGCATAAATAAAAATACAATAATATCTCACTTTTACGAGATATATGATTCGAAATGATTAGATATTCCCAAACGGGATATTAGTTGATCAACGACGTGACGTTGATGTTACATGCTGTCGTATTTAAAAGTCACGTAACACAATTAATTCGCTTATTAACTATAATTGTATCAATGCGTGCGCGCAATATCGATTTGTACAATATAAATCAACGTAACGTTGATGAACTATGAAAAACTAATTACTAAAATCGAAACGCCTTTTCTCTGAAAGGCGAAATGTTTGTCATCGTCAGGAAGTGCGAATTTGATCCATTTTATTATGCAGCTTCATGATCGTTCAATCATCATGCGAGAAACAATAATGTACATGCATTTATATATCGAAACAGGAAGAGGACGATGCACGTTTCTACATCAAAAGGCCATCCAAGAATATGTTGCAGGAAAAGTGCTACAAAAATAACCATAACGGATTACGACATCGAGGTCGGGGCAGTAGACGCGACATAAATTGCGCTTTTTTCAA